CAAAGCTATCTGCTCCTTCTTCCCGCTGCTGCTGCTGCTGCGGCATCTGAACCTCCAACGAACTCCAACGCAGAACTGCGCAACCGCGTGCGACGACGACGGACGCCCTGCTGCTGCTCCTGCTGCTGCTCTTGCTGCTGCTGCTGCTGGTGTTTGCTGCTGCTGGAAGGATCATGTGCGCTTCCGTTGCTGCTGCTATGCCTGTAGGCTGCACGAGAGAATTTGCTGCTGTTGCGTCGGTATGCGCTAGCGCTGCTCTCTCCCTCGCTGCTGCTGCTGATGCTGCTGCTGCTGTCGCTGCTGTTGCTGCTGCTGCTGCTGACTTCAAGCCCCCCGGCTAACGCCCGCAGGCCTTCTACGTGGTGGCCTAAAGCCCTTAGGATGTCTTGGGGCCTGTGTCTCCCCACAGACAGCTGCTGCTGCTGCTGCTGCTGCTGCTGCTGTTGCTGCTGCGGTGGAGACGCAGGGTCATCCGGCTGCATTACATGCCCAGAAGCAGCAGCAGCAGCTGCTGCTGCTGCATCCGCGTTGGTGCTGCTGCTGCTGTTTTCGCTGTTGCTGTGGTTGTGTGGAGCTGCTGCTGGTAGCGCCTTGACATCAGGTGCAGCAGGCTTGTCGGCGATTGCTGCTGCTGCTGTTGCTGCTGCTGCTGCTGCTGTGTCCCCATCCCGCTGCTGCTGCTGCTGCTGCTGCTGCTGATGTGCTGCGCTGCTGCGGGTATGTCTTAGCGTACCGATGAAAGAAGCGTTAATTCGTTTAACTTGCTTGGAGAGGCTTTGCTGCAGGAGGAGCAGCAAGCTGCGTAGGCCGCGCATAGCAGCAGCAACACCATTACCATCTCTAAGTGCAGCAGCAAGACGCAGCAAGACATGCGGGCTTGCAGCAGCAGACAGCAGCGGGCGTACAGCAGCAGGAGACAGTATCAGCGAGCGTAGGGGCCCTAGATCGCATGCTTCAGGAAGCAAATAGAGGCATTCGCTGTGCAGCACTCTGCAGCACCAAAGACATCTTAACCCATCTAACCCAAATGTGCTGCTGCAGACGAGCCCGCAGCAGCAGCAAACAGCATCAGGGCTAAGAGCACCCTCTACGAGTTTATGTTTTAAGACAGGCTGACAAGCTTTTGCTGCAGCAGCAGCAGCAGCTGCTGCTGCAGCAGGTGGCGCTCCTGCTGCAGTTGCTGCTGCTGCTGCAGTGGCTGCAGCAGCAGCAGCAGCAGCAGCTGCTGCTGCTGCTGCAGCAGGAGCAGCAGGAGTCTTACATAGATGAGCATCGCATGCAGCAAGACACGTTGAATGACAAGCTCTCCTACATATAATACATATCCAGCCTTTGTTTCTATATATCAAAAAGCCTGATATTAACTCACTACAGACGCAGCAATATTTAGGGCTTGAAGCAGATGAGAAGCACTCCCATGCATGCAAAGGGTTGAGTACCGGGGCTTTCTGCTGCAGCTTGCTGCTGTTATAGAAACCTATCCTACACCTCCAATATATTAATGACAGCAGCAAAACTGTTGCTGCTGCAGCAAATAAAGATAAACATACATGTAATACAGGAGGAGGCAAAAAAAACAAGCACGATGATAGCCAAGCTGCTGCGCTGCTGCTCCACCGCAGCAGCAGCAGCAGCAGATGCTGCAGCAGCTGAACGCAGTACGCCCATGTTGATACACAATCCTTCTCTCCATAGAAAGAGCAGCTTGCATAATCTGCTGCTTCGTTGCTTTCTAGTAAAGACAGCACAGAAGAAGAAAACGAATAGGTAGACGAACCCCCAGCAGCAGCAGCAGCAGCAGCAGCAGCAGAAGACATCGTCGCTGCGGGGCCAAAGCTAATGCCTCAATAACAAACGCAGTTGCTCCTGCAGATACTGCTGCTGCTGCTGCTGCTGATGATGATGATGATGCTTGTGATAGCGCTGCTGCTGATGCTGCTGCTGCTGATGCTGCTCCTGCTGCTGCTGTAGCTGCTGCTTTCCGTTCTGCTGCAGCAGACGAGGATGCCAGCACAGCAGACACCTATGCAATCTGTGCTGCTGCTGCTGCTGCTGCTCTAGACGGACGTTGCTGCTGCTATTGCTGCTGCTATTGCTGCTGCTGTTGTTGTTGCTCCTGCTGTTATTGCTGCTGTTGTAGTTGTTGCTGTTGTTGTTGCTGCTGCTGCTGCGGAGTAAGCCGCTGCAGCCCACAAGGATCTGGTTGTTGCTGTTGCTGCCGTTGCTGATGTTGCTGATGTTGCTGCTGTGTCTGCTGTTGTTGCTGTCGCTGCTGCTGCTGCGGCTGTCGCTGCCGTTGCTGCTGTTGCTGCTGTTGCTGAACCCGATAGTTCTGATCTGGAGTCACCCAGAGGCTGTCGCTGTCGTCTTGCGCTGCTGCTGCTGCTGCTGCAGCAGCAGCTACTGCTGCTGCTGCTGCAGTTGTCTAGGGCGGGGATCACCTGCCGTGCTGTTGCTGCTGCTGTAGCTGCTGCAGCCCTCGGAGCCGGATGCCCCCCCGAGCCCATTGCTGAGCCGCAGCAGCAGCAGCAGCAGCTATAGGTGTGTGCAGCGGCGCCAGCAGCGGGAGCAGCAGCAGCAGCAGCAGCAGCAGCAGCAGCAAGGCGAGAACCTGGTGATGCTGCTGCTGCTGGGTGAAGTTACGCTCCAATTGAATGGACAGCCGCGCGTTGCTGCTGCTGCTGCTACTGCTGCTGCTGCAGTTGCTGCTGCTGCTGCTGCGGCGGCGGCGGCGCGGACATTGAGGCTTCTCGCAGCCGTTGCTGCTGCAGGTGTTGCTGCAGCTGTTTCTGCTGCTGCAGGCAAATGAAGCAGCAGTAGCTTAAATAACACACAAAAACAATAGACAGCTGCTCTTGCCCGGTCTTTTTATTGCTGCTGCTGCTGTAGCTGCTGCTGCTGCGCTGCCTTTTGTTCCGGAGCTGCTGCTGCTGCTACTGCTACTGCTGCTGCTGCTGCTGCTGCAGAGAACAGCAACAGGATTAAGCAAATTAGCTTCAAGGTCTTGGAGTATTGCATAAACAAATAACAATAAAAAGCAGTTTAATATTTTAATAAAAACATTTACAGCTATGCCTCCTGCCTATCCTGTGCAGCAGCCTCTGGGGGGGCCCCTGCTGCTGCTGGTGCTGGTGCTGCTGCTGCTGCTGTTGCTGTTGCTGCTGCTGTTACTGCTGCTGCTGCTGCTGCTGCTGTCCGCTGCACCTTTAAGACGCCTCAACTACACGCGTGCTTGTGCGCTGTGTCTGTTAATCTTTGTTTATTGTGTATATATTGAAGGCCTACGGTTTGCTGCTGCTGCGGAGAGAGGCGACCATACAAGACGGCATCCCTTGCTGCTGCTGCTGCTGCTGCTGCTGCTGCTGCAGTAGAGGGCTGCTGTGCTAGTTCCGAGACACAGAGATGGTGAGACTCACAGTCTGCGCTCATGTTCTTGCTGCAGTCTCTGCTGCTCTCTGCTTCCTGCTGCTGTTGCTCTTGTTGCACAGCAGCAGCAGCAGCAGCAGCAGCAGCAGCTGGAGGTGACCTCGTATGCATCGATGAGTTTTGAGGGTTTTTATCTGTCATCAGTCTCTAACAATTTGTTGCTTTTACCTGCTCTCTGCTGCATTATCATCATCATCATCAGCAGCAGCAGCACAAGCACCAGCAGCACAAGCACCAGCACCACCAGCAGCAGCAGCAGCAGCAGCAGGTATATGATTTGTTTGTCTGCTGCAGCTAAGTCGTCGTGCCCCCCCTTCAGGTGCTGCCAGGGCTTTGGGGGGCCCCCGTGGGGGCCCCCAGGGGCCCCAGCCTCGGAGAGAGTTGACAGAGCAGCAGAAGCAAGAGATAAGAGAGGCGTTTGAATTGTTTGATACGGATGGGTCGGGGTGTATTGACGCTAAAGAATTAAAAGTAGCAATGAGAGCGCTGGGCTTTGAACCGAAACGAGAAGAAGTGAGATGCTGCTGCTGCTGATGCTGCTGCTGCTGCTGCTGATGATGATGATGATGATGATGATGATGATGCTAGTGCTGGTGCTGCTGCTACTGCTGATGCTGGCGCGGCTGTTGAGGCTGTTGTTGCTGCTGATGATGGTGAAGATCAGCAGCAGCAGCAGCTGCTGCTGTCGATCAGCTGCTGGGGGCGTCTATCACTTCTGCAGCAGCAGGCATTGCAGCAGCAGCAGCAGCAGCAGCAAAGGCGTTGATGTGTGGCTGGAAGGCGCCGCAAACAAGCGAGAGCAGCAGCTTTTGCTGCTGCTATCATGCTGCTGCTGCCGCTGCTGCTGCTGCTTCCGTGCTGTTATCGTAGTTGCTGCTGTTCTTTATTTATTATTGTTTGGTGCTTCACTCGTTTTTATTTGTATGTTTATCTTTACTTGTTGTTTATTTATTTATTTAACTTTTATATATTTGCTTTTCGTCTTTTTATTTTATCTTTTTATCTCGATAAACGCAAACCCATTCTTTGCTTCTGCTGCTGCTGCTGCTGCTGCTTCCTGCTGCTGCTGGTGTTGCTGCTACTTCTGCTGGTGCTGTTGCTGCCTCTGCTGCTCCTTTTGCTGCTGCTTGCATTGGTCTTGCTGCTTGGGCTGCTGGTGTAGCTGCTGTTTCTGCTGCTATTATCTGCTGCTGCTGTTGTGCTGGGGTGCTGTTACTTGCGTTGCTGCTGCTGCTGCTGCTGCTGCTGCTGCTGCAGTATTTATTTTATTTGTTTTTATTTATTTATTTATATGTGTTTGTATTTGCTGCTGTTCTCTCTGGCGGCATTTTCTGTTTGTTTATTTGTTGTGTTTATCTGTTTTATTTGTTTATCTGTTTTATATATTCGTTTATTATATTTGTTTTATTTGTTTATTTTATTTGCTTCATCTGTTTATTTTATTTGTTTTATTTATTTATTTATTTTATTTATTTGTTTTATTTATTTGTTTTATTTATTTATTTTATTTATTTTTTTTATGCTTTTTCTTTGATATTTCTTTGATATATTTTAATTCATTTACTATTAATTTAACCAATTTAATTTAATATATTTAATTTAATTTAATTAATTTATTTAATTATATATAATTTAATTTAATTTAATTTATTTAATTTAATTATTTTTATCTTCAGGTGCGGCGTTTGGTTGCTTCGGTTGATCGGGAGGGCAGCGGCAGCATCGAATACCCCGACTTCCTCGCACTCATGACTGAAAAAGTCGTATGCTGCTGCTGCTGCTGCTGCTGCTCGTGCTCCTGCTGCTGCTGCTAATGGTGGTGGTGGTACTGCTGCTAATGGTGCTGCTGCTCATGGTGCTGCTGCTGCTGCTAATAGTGCTGCTGCTAATGGTCTTGCTGCTCCTGCTGCTAATGCTACAGCCGCTGCTAATGCTGCTGCTGCTGCTAATGGTGCTGCTGCTGCTGCTGCTAATGGTCCTGCTGCTGCTGCTAATGGTGCTGCTACTTACGGTGGTGTTGCTGCTGATGGTGCTGTTGATGCTGATGGTGCTGCTGCTTCTCGTGCTGCTGCTGCTCGTGGTGCTGATGCTGCTGCTCTTGCTGCTGTTCTTGCTGCGGATGTTTCTGCTGCTGCGTGGCGCTATTGCTGCTTCTGCTGCTGCTTCTACTGCTTCCTTTCTTCTCTCATGCTGATGCTGCTGCCATTCATCTGTAGCTGCTACTGCTTCCGACATGCAGCAGCAGCAGCAGCAGCAGCAGCAGCAACTTGGGTGTGATTTGTTGTGCTGCAGTTGGCGCGAGACCCGAAGGAAGAAATGCAGAAGGCGTTTCGTCTCTTCGATGACGATGGATCCGGAAAAATAAACTTCAAGGTCAGCAACTGCTGCTGTTGCTGCTGCTGTTGCTGCTGCTGCTGCTGTTGCTGCTGTTGCTGCATCTGCTATTGCTGCTACCGATGCTGCTATTGCTTCCGTTGCTGCTGCTGCTGCTCTTGCTACTGGTGCTCCTTCTATAATTGCTGATGGTGCTGCTGCTGGCTGCTGCTACAATTCCTGCTGCTGCTATTGCTGTTAGTGCTACTGCTGCTGCAACTGTAGCAGCAGCAGCGCCACTAACGTCCGCAGCAGCAACAGCTGCAGCACGAACAGCACCAGCAGCAGCATAAGCACCAGCACCAGCACCACCATTAGCAGCAACATCAGCAGCAACAGCAGCAACAGCAGCAGCAGCAGCAGCAGCAGCAGCAGCAGCAAGCTGTTTGGATTTGTTTGTTGCAGAAGTTAAAACGAGTGGCGAAGGAAATCGGCGTCGAAATAACCGACGAAGAAATCCAGGAGGTAGTTTATTATTTATTTTATTTATTTATTTATTTATTTTATTTATTTATTTATTTATTTATTTATTTATTTATTTTATTTATATTTGTTTTGTTTTGTTTTGTTTTGTATTGCGCTGTTTTGTATATTTGCACTTTAAAATCCGGTATCATCTACAATATACATTTATATATATATAATCTATATATATATATAGAAACGTATATTTGTTTTTATTTATGTTTATATATATATATATAGTATGCTGAGGCACCAAAGGAGCAGCAACCCTTGTACGCAGCAGCAGCTGCAACAGCAGGGCCTATAGCACGCACGAAACACTCAAAATGCTGCGTATGCACTGTTCGTTTGCATGCAGCAGCAGCAACGGCAGCAGCAGCAGCAATGGCGGCAGCAGCAACAACGGCAGCAGGAGCAACAGCAACAGCAGCAGCAGCAACAGCAGCAACAGCAAGTGGGAGCGAACATCTCTAGTTGGAACAGCATAAAGACGAAGAAATTGTTTGCAGTTGCCCCGACCCGCAGCAGCAGCAGCTGCGCTTGTGCTGCTGCTGCTGCTGCTGCCGCCGCCAGGCACAGCGAGCCCTGTCTGCAGCAGCAGAATTTGGTGCGGAGGGAGCTGCTGCTGCAGCTGCTGCTGCAGCAGCAGCAGCTTTGTCAGAGGGTCTTAATTAGGTTTTCATGACCCTGAGGAGGCGTTTGTATTCACTTTGCTGCAGCTGCTGCAGTAGCTGCTGTTGCTGCAGCAGGTACTTCTGCTGCAGTAGGTACGTCTGCTACTGCTGCTGCAGCAGCAGCAACGGCAGCAGCGGCAGCAGCTTTAAGTTAGGCCTTCATAACCTTGAGGAGGCGTTTGTATTCACTTAGCTGCTGCTTCTTGTCTTGGATTTGCTGCTGCAGCTTCTGCTGCTCTTCTGCATGCAGCGCTGCGTGCGTCTCCCGCATAAAGGCATCTAGACAATCTTCTTCTTCATTTGCTGCTGCATTTGGTGGTGGTGATGCTGCTGGTGCTGCTGCTGTATTGGTTGCTGCTGCTGCTGCAGTAGCAGCGGGGCCCAGTGCAGCAGCAGGCGCAGCAGCAGCAGCAGCGCCGTTTGTTTGCTTTTGCTCTAACTCTGTGATTTCTTGTCTCAGGGTTTTAATAGCTGTTTTGATAGAGGCCTCGTCTAGAGGTTTTTGCTGCTGCTGCTGCTCCTCACTTGCTGCTGCTGCTGCTGCTGCTGTACGGTCAAAGAATGGGTCGTCCTCATCGAAGCTGCATGCAGCAGCAAAGAAAGCTTCAGCCTTCTTTCTCTTGCGGCTGTCTAGCTGCCACTGCAGCGCGTCTGCTGCTGCTGCTGCTGCTTCTGCTGCTGCTTCCGCTGCTGCTGCGCCCGCGGCGTCCCCAGCAGCAGCAGCAGCAGCAGCCTTCTCCTCAAGCTGCTGCTGCTGCTGCTGCAGCTGTGCAAATCGCGCCTCCTCCTGCTGCTCCCTTGTCAGTCGCTTGCCTGATTTTGCTGCAGCGGCAGCAGCTGCTGCTGCTGCCGCTTTAAATTTGGCCTTGCCTTTAGCAGCAGCAACAGCAGCAGCATCAGCAGCAGGAGCAGCAGCAGCAACAGGCTCTTGCTTTGATTCGAGGGTTGCTGCCTCAGCAGCAGCGCCAATATCCACTACGAAGAGCCTGTAGAGCGCATGCAGCCCCAAAAAAAACAATTCAACTCCACAGCAGCAACAGCCAGCAGCAGCAGCAGCAGCACAGAACACAGCCAGGAGGGATGCCGCAGCAGCAGCAGAAGGCGGCACATTGGGGCATCAACAAAAGCGACAAAAAGCAGCAGCACCGCTAGTGATAACAGCTGCAGCAGCATTAACAGCAGCAGCAGAAGCACAAAGCAACAACAACAGCAGCAACAGCAGCAGCAGCAGTACTAGCAGCAGCAGCAGCAGCAGACCTGTTGGTTGTCCCAGGAGTTCCGAGTACAAAGACGCAGCTTTCGTTTGCATCTTCTCCATCTGTTGACAGCAAAGGCTTGCTGCTGCTGCTGCTGCTGCTGCTGCTGCTGCTGGATGCGTCCTCAGCAGCAGCATCAGCAGCATCAGCAGCAGCAGCAGGGTCTCCAGGTCCGTGCAGCAGCAGCGGCTGCTTCGGTTTGAGGCAGCAGCCGTTGCAGCGGGAGCCAAATGAAGAGTTTAAATCGATTGCATACAAACTGTGGGGTGGAGTGCGGCTGTACTGAAGTGCTGCAGCATACAACACACACAGATGCTGCTGCTGCTGCTGCTGCTGCTGCTATTGTTGTTGCTACGGCTACTGCTGCTGCTGCTGTTACTGCTACTACTACTGCTGCTGCTGCTGCTGCTGCTCTTGCTGATACTGCTGCTACTCCTGCTGGTGTTGCTGCTACTCCTGCTGCAGCTACGACAACGCCTGCTGCTGCTGTTGTTGCTGTTGATGGTGCTGCATACAGTGCAGGTGCTGCTGCTTATCTTGCGGCTGCTGATCCTGCTGCTGCTGCTGTACACAGTGCTGCTGCAGTTTCTGTTGCTGCTGCACTCGCCGGGGGAAAGAACCGCCCCTACGTGCACAGCAAGGGTTTAGGGTTTAGGGTTTAGGGTTTAGGGTTTAGGGTTTACCTAGGTGGCGTCTAGAGACACAGGGATGAGGGTATTGAATATCTGCTAAAGGGCTGCTGCCGATGACCCAGAAAGGCTTTTGCTGCAGACGAAAAGACTGCAGAGTCTGCCCCTGTCGTACTACCTGCAGCACTGCATGCGGCAGCGCTGCTGCTGCTGCTGCTGCTGCTGCTGTTCCTGCTGCTGCTGCTGCTGTTCCTGCTGCTCCAGCGCCCCCTGGAGAGCCCCCCACAGACGCCGCACCCATCGCTTTATACTCTGCAATTGTCAATCCCCATGGCGGAGGCACGTAATACTCGCTGTTGCTGCTGCTGCTGTTGCTGCTGCTGCTGTTCGTGCTGCTGCTGTTCGTGCTGCTGCTGCTGGTTGGGTCATTGCTGCCGTTGCCGCAACCTTCGGGGGCGTGAGGACGCTCCATGAGAGGCCAAAAATGATTTAACTTCTAAGGCTGCTGCTGCTGCTTCCGTTGCTGCTGCTGCTGCTGATGATGCTGCTTCAGTTTCTGCCGCTGCTGCTGCTGCTTCCTCCGGCCATTTGTAGGGGCCCTAGGAGTTGTCTGTTGATTGTAATTAAAATTAATTCAAATTAAAAATTAATTTTTGTTATTTCTGTTTTCTCTGGAGATGCAAACCGCAGCCGCTGCAGCCCCAAACTACCGCTGACGAAACCCTAAACCCTAAACCCTAAACCCTAAACCCTAATCCGTACAAAATGTCTTCAGCCCTAAGTTGTAGACCCTAAATTGACTCATCAACATTCGCAGCAAAACGAAGGATGCTAACGACGACGTACTTCTGCAGCACTGCTCGCAGCAGTGCTGCTGCAGCTGCTGCTGCTGCTACGACAACGCCTTCTGCTATTGTTGCTGCTGCTGCTGCTGCTGCTCGCCAGCACACCTTTACTAGCCGTAGACACAGATGCACAGCATGCAGCAGCAGCAAGAACCAGAACAACAACTGCAACAACCACACCAGCAGCAGCAGCAACAGCAGAAACTGCTGCTGCTGCTACTGTTGCAGCAGCAGCAGCAGCAGAAGCGACTACCTTCGGCTGCTCGGCCGCACAGCCATCCCCGACAGCATGCAGATGCGTCAGCAGCACCACCACTACAGCAGCAGCAGCAGCAGCACCGATACACGCAGCAGCAGCAGCAGCAACGACAACAAGGACAGCGGCATGAACAGCAGCAGAAGCAGCAGCAGCAGCAACAACAACAACAAGGACAACGGCATGAACAGCAGAAGCAGCAGCAGCAGCCGAAGTTACTGGCAGCAGCAGCAGCAGCAAGAGAAGCAGAATTTTGCTGCTCAGGCAGACGCGTGGTGGGATCCGAACGGCCCTGCTGCAGCACTGCATGCATACACCCCAGTGAGGGTTTCTCTGCTGCTGCAGCAGCTACAAACACTGCCTCTTTATCAGCAGATTCTGCGCTCCCAGTCGCGTCAACACCAACAGCAACAGCAGCAGCAGCAGCAACAGCAGCAGCAACAGCAACAGCAACAGCAGCAGCAACAGCAGCTGCCTTTGCTGGGTGTACGTATTGCTGATGTGGGCTGCGGAGGAGGTATATTAAGCGAAGCATTTGCTGCTGCTGGCGCCTCAGTAACCGGCATCGACTCCACTGAGATGCTGCTGGCTGTTGCAGATAGAAGAAAGCAGCAACGCGGTATGCATCTGCTGCTGCTGCTGCTGCTGCTGCTGCTGCTGCTGCTTGTTGAGGTGGCTGCTGTGCTGCTGCTGGAAACACGGCTGCAGTTTATTGGACATATGTTGTGCTGCTGCTGTCGATGCTGTTGCTACTGCTGCTGCTGCTGTTTCTACCGATGCTGTTGCTGATGTTGCTGTTGCTGCTGCTTCTGCTGCTGCTGCTGCTGTTGCTGCAGCTGCAGAAGGCCTCCCTGACCTGAGTGATCGCCTGCGTTACCTCGTGGCAGATGCATGCGCCCCCCCACAGCAGTGAGTTGGTGCTGCTGCTGCTGCTGCTATTGCTGCTGCTGCTATTGCTGCTGCTGCTATTGCTGCTGCTGCTACTAGTATTACTACTGCTGCTGCTACTCCTGCTGCTGCCGCTGCTGCTACTGAATCCCAGCAGTAATTTCTCCTTTGCTGTAGCGAAATCTGCTGCTATAGCGCACACGATCGCAGCAGCAGCAGCCGCAGCAGCAGCAGCCGCCGCCGCCCCCGCAGCAGCAGCAGCAGCACCAGCAGCGGATTGCGGTGTATGTGCAGGTGGGAGTTAGGTTACTACCACGCGGTGGTGTTATCTGAGGTCTTAGAACACATATGGGGAGAGGATAATAAAGCTGCTGCTGTTGCTGCTGCTGCTGCTCGGCTGCAGCAAGGGGGCCTTTTGCTGCTAACCTCTTTGAACAAAACAACTGAAAATTACTTCGCCTCAATTCTCCTTGCAGAGCATCTCTTCCAAATAGTACCAAAGGTAATAACACACAGCTAGCTAGCTGGCTAGCTAGCTAGCTAGCTAGCTAGCTAGCTACATAGATATGTAGATAGATACTTAGATAGATAGGTAGATATAATGATAGATAGACAGATAGATAGAGGCATAGGTATTTATATAGATAGATAGACAGCCAGATAGCCAGCTTGCCCATCGGCTACCTAGCTAGCTAACTAGCTAGCTAGCTTAGTAGCTAGCTAACTAGCTAGCTAGCTTAGTAGCTAGCTAACTAGCTAGCTGTGGAGACTCGAAGACGGCTAGCTGGCCTGGGGGTTGTATCTACGGCACAGCTATTCTGCTGTCTGTCTATTTGTATATCGCGGTATCTCTAGCTAGCTAGCTAGCTAGCTAGCTTACTACCTATATGCTGTTGCTGCCTTCGTCTCCAGCAATTGCCGCTGCATTTGCTGCAGCTGCTGCACTTGCTGCTATTGCTGCTACTGCTGCATTTGCTGCTGCTGCTGCTGCTGTGTGTATCAGGGGACTCACACGTGGAGTAACTTCAGCAGCCCTGCTGCAGTAGAGCGTTGGTGCGCTGCTGCAGGGCTGCAGCAGCTGCATGCAGCAGGCTTTCTTTACAATCCTCTCTCAAATACATTCATTAGAGAGCCCTCAAAGCGGTTTCTCTATGCTCTTCTCTTTGTTAAAACCTAAACAAACATAATTGCTGCTGCTGCTGCTGCTGCTGCTGCTGCTGCTGCAACGGATGCTGCAGCTGCAGCGGCTGCACAAATCTAGCTGCTGCTACAGCAGCAGCAGCACCAACAGCGTGAGGTATGTGGAGGCCCATGCGGCCTGCCCACTTAAGCGTGAACTGTCTGTACACCGAAGGTTTAGCAGCAGCAGCAGCAGTAGCAACACGGCGACTGCATCGCAGCTGCTGCTGCTGCTGTTGCTGCTGCAGCAAATTGTTTAAAACAAATTTTTATCTCTACAGGTCTCCCTACTACTACAGCAGCACCTGTTGCTGCTGCTGCTGTTGTTTATGCTCTTGCTGCTGCTGCTGGCGTTGCTGCTATTGCTGCTGCTGCACGACAGCTGTTCTTCTGGCAGCAGCACGAGACTGCGGAGAGGCTTATCAGGGTTGCTTCGCAGGTTGCTGCTGCTTTTTTGCTGCTGCTTCTGCTGCTGTCTTAGCAGCATTTTGCTGCTGCTGGAGTCGTTCACTTTCTTCAAGCTGCAGCTGCTGCTCCAGCCGCAGGTCTGCATACCGCAGCACGTGCATGTGTCTGCAGCAGCAGCACAAGCAGCAGCAGCAGCGGAAGCAATAAAAGCAGCAGCAGCAACAGCAGTAGCACCAGCAGCACGACCATGAGAAGGCCACCAGCAGCAGCGCTGCCAGCAGCAGCAGCATTAGCAGAAGCAACAGCAGCAGCAATAGCAGCAGCAGCAGCAGCAGCAGCAGCAGCAGTTTACCCAATAAGCCCGCACTTCCTGCTGGAGACAGAATACCCCATTAAGAAGCGCCAAGCAGCAGCACAAGCAGCAGGCAGATACTCCACTTGCCCCCGAGACACAGTCTTCTGCAGCAGCAGCAGCAGCAGCAGCAACAGCAACACAAGCAGCAGCAGCACAAGCAGCAGGCAGATACTCCACTTGCCCCCGAGACACACACTTCTACAGCAGCAGCAGAAGCGCTGCAGCAACGACAGCTGCGAGAAGCAGCAACAGCACCATCAAAGGCCTCTTAGGCGGAGCCCTAGCAGCAACAGCAGCAGCAGTAACAGCAGCAGCAGAAAAACTAGCCTAGCAGCAGCACCGCCACAACCACCACCAGACCGAGTACCAGCCAGAGCAGCAGCAGCAGCACCAACAGCAACAGCAGCAGCAGCAGCAGCAGCAAACTGACATTGCATGCGGGGCAGGTCTTGGATACGTTCCAGTGGACCACCTGCCTTTGCTGCTGCAGCTCAATTTCAGATACTGGGATTTCGCTGCTGCTGCTGCTGCTGCTGCTGCTGCTGCTATTGCTATTACTAGTACTAGCAATGCTGCTTCCGCTGCTGCTTCTGCTGCTGTTGCTTCTGCTGCTGCTGCTTCCGCTGGGATCGTGTCTGGGCTGCGCTGCTGCAGCAGAAAACTCCGCTATTTGCTGCAGCGAAGCCTGCACATGGGCGCATCGTGCTGCTGCTGCTGCTGCTGCCGACTTTGCTGCTGTTGTTGCTGCTGCTGCCGCAGCGCAAGAGGAGAGGCCCGGCTGAAGGCGTGCGGCCCCCACACCGAGCAGCGGGTGCTTAAACGCAGCAGAATGAAAGGACCTACGAGCTGCTGCTGCTGCTGCTGCTGGGGCGGCTGTTGCAGCTCCTATGGTTGTTGTTGTTGCTGCTGCTTCTGCTGCTCTCCACGCCGATCCTCTGCAGACGGGAAGGCGCAGCGGCACGCAGCAAATGGGGGTAGTGTGCGCTGCACGAGCTGCTGCAGCAGCTGTTGCTGTTGCAGCAGCTGCTGCTGCAGCAGCTGCCGTCGCTGTAAGAGCTGCTGCTGCTCCACTTCTTAGCAGACTTGGCGCCAGCATTTTTCGTAGAAGTTGCGGGTTCTGCTGCGCCTTCATCCGGGGCTGCTGCTGCTGCAGCAGCTGCTGCAGCTGCTGCTGCTGCTGCTGCTGCAGCTAGGGCTCCAGTGCTCGGTAGTACTTAAATTGCAAATTGATAAATCTGCTGACGGAATTTGTAAAGAGATTTCAATAAAAAATCCGCCCTTTTTGCTGTTCTCGCTGCGCATGCAGTCCCGCTGCTGCTGCTGCTGCTGCTGCTGCTGCTGCTGCTGCTGCTGCTGCTGCTGCTGGTACACTGTCTGGGGGCCCCTCGCGTGTGGGGCGGAGCGTCGATTGGCTGTTGGTTTTTGTTTATTTGCTGCAAAATAAATTAATTATTTTGAGTTCATAAAAACTCTGAAAGAGGAGTTAAAGAAGATACTGCGGTACAAACACAAACACTGCGGCAGCAGCAGCAGCAGCAGCAGCTGCTGCAACAGCAACAGCAGAGGCAAGAGCCTCATCCTTCTTGAGGACCCTCAACAGAAGCAGCAACAAGGAGGGCTGCAGCTGCACTGAAGGACTCAAGCCGCAGCTTCAGCAGCAGTAGCAAGAACTGCAACGCCAGCAGCAGCAGCAGCAGCAGCAGCAGCACCAACTGGGATAACGGCGGCAGCAGCAGCAGCAGCAATAGGACCATGGGGATGAGCAGCGCCGGAGAAACCACCAAGCCCCCCAAGAAGCAGCGCAGCAAGTCTGCCGCTGCTGCTGCTGCAGCTGCTGCTGCTGCTGCTGACCCGGCGTCAGCATCGGAACAGCCGGAGGGACAGTCTGTTGCTGCCTTCTGCGTAGCAGCTGTGGAATCAAGCAGCAGCAGCAGCAGCAGCAGCAGCAGCAGCTCAAGAGCTGCACGTTTGCTGCCTTGCTGCCGCGAGGGATCGACTGTGGGGCAGGCCGAATATCTATGGAGGGCCGACGGCACAATCTCTAAAATAGCTGTATGTTCTGCTGCTGCTGCTGCTTTTGCTGCTGCTGCTTTTGCTGCTGTTGCTGCTGTTGCCTTTGCTGCTACTGGTTTTACTTTAGCTGCTGCTGTTGATTTTGCTGCTGATGTGGACTCCAGGAGTAGGCAGGGCGTTCTTGCTGCTGGTGCTGGCATTTGCATGCGCTCTTTTGCTGCTGCTGCTGCTGCTGCTGCTGCTGCTGCTTGTGTAGGTATCCAGCAGCCTCACGCTGGAGACATACTCGTTGCCGGATGGGGTGAGCGTACATCCGAATTGCGGCTGCTGCTTCGCCCCTGCAGCAGCAGCAGCAGGTGCTGCTGCTGCTTTTGTAGTCGCAGGTGCAGCAGCAGGAGAAGTTGTTGCTCTCAAGCAGCGCAGCAGCAGCAGCAGCAAATCACCTGCTTCGCCAGTGCCAACTGCACCAACTGCAGCGTTGAAGATTGCTGCTCGTGCTGAGGTAGGTCCCGAGAGCAGCAGCAGCAGCAGCAGCAGCATCAGCAGTAGGGACAGCAGCAGCAGCAGCAGCAGCAGCAGCAGATATTGAGTGTGGGGCTGTAGAGGTTGTGTGCTGCTGGTGCTGCTGCTGTTGCCCGCAGGTAGGAGGCCGTCTGCTGCAGCTCTTGCCGCTGCGATTGCAGCAGCAGCAGCAGCAAGAAGAAGAAGAAAAAGATGAAGAAGATGAAGAGCAGGAAGAAGAAGAAAAGACACAGCACAGGGATGCTGTCTTGGCTGTCAGTTTGCTGCTGCCGAAGAAAGGACACAGCAACAGCAGCAGCAGCAGCAGCAAAAAGCAGCCTTGCTTGTTGTGCAAGCTGCTGGATGCCCATACGCTGGAGGTGCTGCACACGTCTCGTGTGGTGCTGCCGCCTGCAGCAGCAGCAGCTGCTGCTGCTGCTCCCCTGCAAGTTGAGGCAATGGCGCTGCCTCCAGCAGCAGCAGCAGCAGCAGCTGAAGCCGCTTGGCCCCGTGTACTGCTTGCTGCTGCAGCAGGAGATGCGGGCGTGTTCTGGTGCTCCTTGGGGCTGCAAGAAGCAGCACCAAGCAGCAGCGGCAGCAGCAGCAGCGTAGACGAGGGTGTGCTGCAGCAGCTGGAGCTGGGAGGGCAGACGCCGCGGTGCATCAGCTGCGTTCCGCCTGCTGCAGCTGCTGCTACTGCTTCTGCTGCAGCAGCAACTGCTGCTGCTGCTCCCCAGCCTGTGCTGCTGGTGGATTCAGTTGAAGGCGAGCTGCTGGTAAGCATTAGCTGTCTCGGGTTGGCGTTGCTGCAGCAGCTGCGTTTGCTGCTGTTGCTGCAGATTTGAGGCCGGTGCTGCTGGCCCTCCATCTGTTGCTGTTACTACTGCTGCTGCTAGTGCTGCTGCTGCTGCTGCTGCAGGTCTTTGGTATTGACGGCGCAGCAGGGGACCGTTTGCGCTGCCTGAAGCGGAGCCGGCGTTTGCTGCGTTCCGCTGCTGCTGCTGCTGCATCTGCAGCAGCAGCAGGTGCAGCAGCAGCAGGCGGAAGTATCGCGCTGTCTGCGAGGTGCTGCATGGAGTGGAGTGCAGCACCAGCAGCAACAGCAGCAGCAAAGGGAGACGCGGCTGGGAGCTGCTGCTGCTGCATGTTTTTGCTGCGGGATTTGCGCTGGCTGACGCCTTTGGGCTGTACGTACACCGTAAATGTCTCTTCGCCAGCTGTGCACTCGGTGAGCAGCAGCAGCAGCAGCAACAACAACAACAACAGCAGGAGCAGCAACGGATGCATTTAGGGTTTGCTTGTGCGACCGTGTTGCGCTGCGCATGCACTAGAGCGGAGTTGCTGCAGCAAACGCTTCTTCTTTTGCTGCTGCTGCTGCTGTTCAGGTGCGCGCCTTATGGAATCCATCACTGCAGCAGCAGCAGCAGCAGCAGCAACGGCTGCAGCCACTTCCGCTGCTGTGGGAGTGCGAAGAGAAGGCTTTTCTTACCCGCTGCTACGCACAAGCACCATGCACAGCGGCAGCTGTTGGTAGGTGCTTGCTGCTGCTGCTGTTGTTGTTGTTGCTGCTGCTGTTGTTGCTGCGGCTGCGATATGTGCACGCCGCTGCATGCATGGTGTATGCGTGGGTTTGCTTGTTGCACTGTCTTCTGCTGCTGCTGCGTTATTGTTGTTTATTGCTGCCGCTGGAATTGCTGCTTGGGGTCTTGCTGCTGCTGCTGCTGCTGCTATATCGGTGTCTTCAGGCGGCTTTGCAGCAGCTGGCGTCGTTCGCAGTGCTGTAGTGGAGGTGCATAAGCAGTTGCTGCAGCAGCAGCTGCAGGGCCTCAGCTCGCAGCAGCAGCAGCTGGCTGAGCAGCTTCTGCTGCTGCCGGCGTCGCGTGTCAGTGCAGATTTGCTGCAGCAAACTGCTGCTCCCTTTTTAGCTTCGCGACAATCCAGGCGCCAGGCTGGTATCGTAGTAGTAGCTGCTGCTGTTGCTGCTGTTGCTGCTGCTGTAGCTGCTAGTCTCGCCTCTGCTGATGCTGCTCGTCAGGCTTCTGTTGCTGCTGCTGCGTCGGTTGTTGCCTATGCTGCTGTTCCTGCGTTTGCTGTTGCCGTTGCCGTTTGTTCTCCCTCTGCTGCTGTTGCTGCTGCTGTTGCTGCTGCTGCTGCTGCTGCTGCCAGTTTGTCCCCCTTTGTTGCTGCTGCTGCGCCTGCGCTTGGGGCTGCGGGTATCCATTTGTATGCGCTGCTGTTGTTGCTGTTTCTCCTTGCGCTGCTGCTGCTGCTGCAGAAGAGACGATTTGTTTGCTGCTGCACAAACACATTTTGCTTCCTCACCGCGCGCTGCTGCAGCTGCTGATACACTGCGACTTCAAAGTTGCTGCAGCTTGCACTTTCTGCTGCCCAGCCTTGCGAGTAAGCCTTATGCTACAGTTGTTGATGCTGCTGTAGCTGCTGCAGCTGCTGCTGTAGCTGCTGCAACTGTTGCTGTTGCTGCTGCTGTAGCTGCTGCAGCAGCTGATGCTACATCTGCGGCTGTTGGTGCTGCAATGCGCGATTGGAGCTGCTGCTGTTACTGCATCTGTGGGTTGTGCTCAGGAAGAAGATGCAGCGCTGCTGCTGCAGTGGAGGCCTCAGCTGTTGCAGGCGCTGCTGCAGCACGCGCAGCACTTCAGGGCTTCAGTGCTGGCAGCAAGTTTGCTGCAGCTGCAGACGCAGCAGCAGCAGCAGCAGCACCAAAACGTTGTGGAGCAGGTGCTGAGACAGCTGATTGAATGGCTGCAGCAGCAACACTGCAGCGGTCTAGAGTCGGACCAGCACACGGAACTCGAGGCTCTGCAGCAGCAGCAGCAGCAGCAGCAGCAGGAAGAAGCGCCAGCAATACCCCTCCCTGTTCTGCTTGACGTTTCCTGCGGATTTGTTGATGCGTTTCTGCCTGTACGCGTTGAGGGTTTAGGGTTTAGAGTTTAGAGTTTAGAGTTTAGAGTTTTAGGGTTTAGAGTTTCGGCTTTAGGGCTTAGGGTTTAGGGTTTAGGGTTTAGGGTTTGGCTGTGTACACAGGCGAGTTTGTATCCGAGTGTGGAGCGGCGAGAAGCAGCAGAGCTGCAGAAGGTACGCGGTTTGCTGCTGCTGCTGCAGCAGCAGATTGATTTGCTGCTGCAGCAGTTCAAGCCACAAGAGGAGCAAAAGCTTGAAGGGAAACTGTTGGGGGCGCTTACATCTAGACTTACCCCTCAAGAGCTGGTGAGGCGCTTGCTGCTCTTGCTGTTGCTGCTGCTGGCTTTGTTGCTGCTGCTGTTGCTGCTTCTGCTGCTGCTGCTGCTGCTGCTGCTCATTGTGTGTGCAGCCTGATGTGCGTTTTGCTGCAGCGGGAAAGAGCCAACCAAGAGGCCCTCTTCCACATTTCTTCTCTGCGCCTGTGAAGGCAGCAACTGCAGCAGCAGCTGCAGTAGGAGTTGCAGCAGCAGTGACAGTATCTGCACTAGCTGCAGCAGCTGCAGCTGCAGCAGCAACGACAGTAGCTGCAGTAACTGCAGCAGGAGCAGGAAGAGGCGGCGCAGCCGCTGCAGCAGGAGCGGAAAGCAGTGTAGCAGCTGCCGCGGAAGCGAAACGCATTGCAGCAGCTGCAGCAATAACGGCAGCAGCAGCAGCAGCAATAACAGCTGCAGCAGCATTTTGATTACCGTTTAGGAGCTGCAGTTTTGCTGCTGAAGTATTAACAGAAAAACCCCTCTGATGGCGTTTAAACATTTCACCCTTAAACCCTAATTCCCACTGAATGAGATTCAGAATCAGCAGCAGCAGCAGCAGCAGCAGCAGCTGCTGCTGCTGCTGCTGTTGCTGCTGCTCTAGGCTGATTGAGCGGTGAGGAGTTGGGAGGCTTCTTGAGTGGTTCTGATACAGCGCTCCAGTTAAGGTGCTGCTGCTGCTGTTGCTGCTGTTGCTGCAGCTGCAGCTTCATAGAGGGAAGCACAAGACAGTTAGGGGGTTGCTGCGAGCTGCAGCAAACCGTCTGAAATACAAAACAGCAGCAAAAGGCACTTAGGCCTATAGACAAAAACAAGAATATCGCATGCATTCATTCATGCATGCATGCATGCATGAATCCATTCATTCTGGCTCATTGCTGCATGCATGCATGCATGCATTCTTGTGCATTGCTGCATGCATGCATGCATGCATTCTGGTGCATTGCTGCATGCATGCATGCATGCATTCTGGTGCATTGCTGCATGCATGCATGCATGCATGCATGCATGCACAGGAGGGAGAAGGGGCATCTAAAGAGTTTTGTGTGTCAGTGAAGAGCGGCTGTCTTTATATTTGTTTTATTTTGGTTTTAGATTCCATTTGTTATTTTCTCGCCTTTTTTATTTGCATTTTATTTGTTTGTTTGTTTGTTTGTTTGTTTGTTTGCTTGTTTGTTTGTTTGTTTGCATTTTATTTATTTATTTGTTTGTTTGTTTGTTTGCATTTTATTT